TTTCGAAAGTCGTGTTATTTTAGGGAAATTGTGATGTCATGGTGTCAACGCTTTCCTACCTTGTGTTATTATATGAGTAGTAGGCGAATGTACCGGCGACTGACTAACAATGCCGATCCCACTTTAGGTCCTTTTTTATCATCCAAGAAACGTACCGAGCGCCTGTGGTTCAACCACAGTTCTTCAATCAAAGAAAGCTTACAAAGAACTCCCATGTGCTGAGAGTATTGGAGACACATTAAATATAATTCGAAATTACTTAGCTGAAAACTAATTATGCAAATCAGAAAATTAATATGAATAGATTTGAGTGTAAAACTAATGAGGTCTGCGCAATGTAACAGAAAATCTATGTTTCCAAGAACCAACAAATTATGAATTATTATGCTTATTAGGGAATTAATATGAACAGATTTTTACCCCAAACTAATTAGGTTTGTACATTGCCCTAGAGCATCTTTGTACTAAGTTTCATTGAAATGGAATAATTAGTACTTTAGATATCAGTGTGAAAGCTTAAAATTGGTTAATTATGCAAATTAGGTAATTAATATGTACAGATTTTAACCCACAATTATCCAGGTCTGCCTATTGTCCTACAGCATCCATGTACATTCATTGATATGTGATGTTTAGTACCTGAGATATCAGTGTGAAAGTTGGTTAATTATGCAAATTAGGTGATTAATATGCACAAATATTTACCGGAAACTAATTTGGTCTGCATAATTCTAGATTCATTGAAATGTGATGATTAGTACTTGAGATACCTGTGGAAAAGCTGAAAATTAACTAATTATGCAAATTAGGTGATTAATATGCACAAATATTTATCGGAAACAATCAATCTCTGGATAGTCCTTGAGTATGTAAGTACCAAGTTTCAATGAAATGTAATGCTCACTACTTATATCAAATGCTAAAAATTAATTAGTTATGCAAATTAGGTAATTAATATGTACTGATATTACCATAAAAACTATCAGGTCTGTGCAGTGTCATGACATCTATGTACCAAGTTTCATTGAAATGTGATGATTAGTACTTGAGATATCAGTGGAAAAACCGAAAATTGACTAATCATTATGCAAATTAGGTAATTAGTATCCACGGATTATTACCAAAAACTAATCAAAACCTAGCATTAGTTCAGAGCATGTATATACAAAGTTTCATCAAAATCCAATGAGTGGTTGTTTAGATATCAGTGGAACAATCATGGAACAGCTAAAAATCAGCTAATTATCATGCAAATTAGGTAATTAATATGCATGGCTTTTTACCAAAAACTAATAAAATCTGCGCATATGTTCAGAGGATCTATGTACCAAGTTTCATCAAAATCCAATGAGTGGTTCTTTAGATATCAGTGGAACAGTCATAGAACAGCTAAAAATTAGCTAATTATCATGCAAATTAGGTAATTAACAAGCATGGATTTTTACCAAAACCTAATCAAATCTGCGCATTGGTCCAGAGCATCTATGCACCAAGTTTCATCAAAAACCGATGTATGATTCTTGAGATAGCAGTGGACCAGTCGGACACACATACACACATACACACACACACACACACACACACACACACACACACACACACACACACACACACACACCCATACGCACTAACTGCAAAGACTCCCATTATGTGCTGCGCACATGGGAGTCAAAAACTGGTTCATCATTCGAGTTACGTCATCTTTACATATAGACTTGTGCTACTGAGCATAAACTCTAACTTAACTGCAGTTCTGTAGCCTTGGATTTCGCTGGTGTCTGTTTTCGCGATTACAAATAGACGAACGAATCAGACTATCGATGCAACAGAAAACGCCAAAACCATACACTAGCGAAATCCAGATCTGCAGCTACCGCTAACTGTGAAATACGCCTAACAGTAACAAGTTGACGTTTCAGTTTTCGTGATGCAGACGACGCCCTCAAAACAATTGCAACATAAGAACACACCTGTTATTCCTTGTACGTTGGCAAATGTAAATAAAAGTAGTAGTTTCAGCATTTTGATTCGCTTTTTCACAGAAGGTCGATTGAAACTGTGTATTATCAGCGAGCAAACAATTGGTATGATGTTATCTAATATTATCCATTTTCGGTTCTGAATTCTGGGGAATACCCTTCCCAAGTCGCACAGCGACTGACAGGCTCGTTCCCAACTAGGTTTCAAACTAATGAAGATGACACTATAAATGTCACTATTAGTATTCTGCATAATCTACTAAATATAATTTTGCTGATTTTTATATATTAAATTATATTATACTTGTATGAATTAATTATTGTAAATTTGATTAACATGGACAAATTAAACGTTAAAACATTTTGCACGAAAGAGGATGACCCAGGCGACATTTTTTCTGAGGTCAAGCTGATTGAACGGCGAAATTTCAATTGTGTTTGGTTTTTTCTAGATATTCGTGTCTGCTGAATCTCACAATTGCACAGGTAGGAATGCATCGAGTATTAGTGCCACAAGGGCGACGTTACCGGTTTTCAAGAGTTGTCAAATTACTACACAAAAAACGAGTTTCCGGTTCAGACCGTTTTTGCAGTGCTGCATGCGTATTTGACAATCTCTGAATGGTTTATATTGCGCCAATGGCGTGCTTTTGATTTGTTTTTGATTGTTACTAAGAAAGGCATATTGTTATTGTTGCGTAAAACAGGAACTTTTTCGTTAGTTTTTTTATGACGAAACTTCAATTTGAGAAACCAATTACTAACGAAAATTACAGTTAAAATGACAATTCTGAGGACAGTATTGCTTGCTATGTCATATTGATCTTATTCTTATGCATATTAAATAAAAACATAAAAAAAACAGTTCATATCAATTTAAAAAAAAAAAATGAAATAGTCCATAAAATAGGGCTGGCATGGTAGCAAAAACCTTACAATGAAGGTCTTGACACTAAAGTCAGGGACAAGTTAAATTCTCATTACGACAACTAGAAAGTAATTCCTTTGCCTTAAGATAGAAACCTACTCATACTTTATTATATTAAATCATAGAGCTGTTGTCCAATGGCACCATAAAATAGCATTTTTTTTATATGTTACAATGACCTATTTTAAGAAACTTTTTAAAACCCAGATTTTCTAAACAATTCAGGAGACAACAAAAAATACCCCAACATCCACCAGCCTACAATTTGAGATACGGCTATCATAGTATATAATTGTGAAAGCGTTACAATACTGACAAAAAATGGGCACTATCTACTAAAATACAACCATTATTTTCCCAAAAATTAGGCGATGACCCCAACTTTTTTACATCATTATCCTTATAGTGCATGGGAGTACAAAATGAATAAATCCTGTGTATTTGCATTTATGAGTAGGCTTTTATTATAACAGACCAAAGTAATATTGACAACATACATTTCTGATAAGTGAGTTTTAAAGTCAATGTCATAAACTGATTATGTGCACACATTGACAATTGAAAGGACCGTGGTTTGAATAACTAAATGGTCAAAATACATTTTTTTTTATCAAATTATATTGCTTAGCATATAGTTGTACTCTGGTGTTCGGTTATTTCTTTTGTTTGTCTGGTATTATTTGCTCAAGATAATGCTTGCTTACTTCACCGTCCCTAAACGGAGGACAGTGCTTACTTCCTTCAACTATGTTTCCAGTACGAGTGCACATTACACTACTTATCAATTATTCACATCACTGCAATGCGAATAGTGGATCTTTTTCAGCTGTATGCACAAATGTTTGTGTGAATAGTCTATATATATAGCGGCTATACTAAATACAGTTCTTTAATGTTTTAGGTTATTTTATAAAGTTTACATTTTTTTAAATTATTAAGAAAATCAAAATTGTGATTGAAAACCGTCTGACCAATCACAGCAACTGTGAATTTGACGTCACTAGATGTTCAGAAGATTAGAATATTATTTCTAAATGACCTGTTTGTCATCCAATCAGCATTGTACATACAAAAGAGCATTGGTTCAATGTTTCACTTTTCAGGTTTCTGGAAATAAATTTTTTTACTACTTTATTAAAAAGACAGGAAACAGGAGACAATTTAGCACAATAGTATCCCACAATTCTATGGTGCACCCCCCCCCCCTTCATGCAATAATTATGGGTATTCATAAACTTTTATAAACATGAAAAATAGTTTTTGTGTGTTTGACACAAGCAGGTATCTCTAATCATGGTGAAATATTACTAGTACTAATTCACTGTGGATTCTGTTAATTACTAGTACATAATAAGTACAGAATTACTTTTGATTAATCTATTGCATTCAAAAGTTTGGGATAGCTTCATTGGAATATTGAATTATGTTTTTGTGGTGATGTCAAAATCACCTAGATAGGTATAGGCAATGTCGTTCAAATATATATCTCTGTTTGATTGTGTTGGCATTCATCATTTAGAATAGTAAATCTTTCAAAACATAACTTTTTTATTGACGAACAATATGATACGATATGATGCCCTTTAAGCCAGTATGATACATCACTGATGCACTAATATTTTTTGTTATGCTTCTAGTTTGGCTAATTCACTTGTGCATCGTTTGTGTAACAGAAACTAATACATTGATATAAAGATCTTGAAAAACATCTGACTGTAGTTATTGAATTTGAAATTGAAAAACAAAGGAAATCAGAGGCTAAAAAATTTATGTTTGTGTTTCACCTATACTGTCATATACAATTTTATTTTTGAAGACTGCCTTTTCAGCAGTCAGCCATCTCGGGATCTGAAATAAGTTAGTGCTGTTACAGGTTTTTTTTTAAACAAGGGAACAGGGGCGCAGCGCCCTCATGTCATGGCCATGCGCCCCTTTACCTTGGGGAGCAGATCCTCTGGCTACCATAAAATTCTGATTGACCAGGGATCACATGTGGCCACAGTCTTCAACTGTGATCTGTCTGGACCTAACCTTCCTTCCCAAGGAAGTCATAGAATGCTTCATTTTAACTTAAAATTATCAAAAACTCCACACCCTATCTCCCCCCCACTTGGTGACACCGCTAAATTGCAGTGCTCCCTCTTGCAGTTTTTTTCCTAGAAAAACCCCTGCTGTTAGAAGGTACAATCTTACATGTATATTTTACTGCTTAAACATAAGTAATTGAGAACAAGTTTAGTCATATTTAATTATTTATTTTTTATTCATCTCTAGAATCATGGCAGAAAGTATAGCAAATGCTTTAGGAGGTGGTACAAGTTCCGGAAAACAAAAGGTCCCTTTAGAATATTTAGACTACTCATTCATAGGTAAATGTACTGATGTCAAACTGTTGGGAAGAATTCTTAAAATTTTGAGGTAAGTTTACTGTGTATATATCCATTATAAGTTTGTGAAGATAACAGCTTATTAATCTTATTTTATATTCCATAGATAAGGATAGTACTAATCTACAAATCACCATGATTCTGTCGTATATACAGAATATTTTTAAACAGAAATTGACAAATTAGTGCAAGACTGCTTTTTGACTAATTCTTGATTGCTATTTTTGAAAAATATAAAACAAATTACATGTGAAGGTGACATTTAAATAGTTAATCCAACATGGATTCCAGAAATGAAAACTTCATTAAATTCCCATTTGTAGATGATAGTTCGAATTTACAGATTGTGTTAATAGTATTTCACCATTCACTGTGTATAAGGCTCACACTAAAAGTAATTTCTGGCTTTGTCTGAAAAGCTGGTGTAATTATTACACAATTATTATGTCCTCATTCGTACAGATCAGGAGATGAAGGCTTGTACCCGGATCTCATAAAATTTTGTGAAAAAAGGATAGAAGAGGTAGATGGTTCTGAAAGGTAAGTATTTGCTACAACTTGAACTTGACAATTAGATTAACTTTCTGTTTGATATTCAACACTCACTGCGAATATTTTATATTTTGCGCAATGCAGAGTTAGGATTTTGGCACATGTAAATACCTTGATACGGAAATAGTCAAATATTTCATTCACAATTTTGATCTGTCTTGGTATTTAAATTGGAGGGCGTCATTCCTTATTAGTTGTAACGTCTCCACTGTTCTAACATCCTTGAAACAAAAACCTGAGATGGTTGCTTGGTTAGTGATGCCAGATGCTCCCATTTATCATCACAACTAATACTGGTCAAATCTACTAGTATTATTAAATGTACATGTACACCCCGTTTACACAACGCATGCCGAAAGCACCCATGGATATTCAAATGAATGTAAAAAACAGCATTAGCAGGTTTATATTCAAACATGGTAAGAAGTATTCCACAGTATTCTATTCTATTGGGGACAGCCTTATGAACAATTCATTGCAACACAGAACGTTATTATTATCATCTGCATTTCTTTTTGCAAAATCTTATTATATTTTGAAATATGTTTTGACCATCTATTCTTTATTTATAATCTAGCAAATATTTACGACAAGATAAAGCTGTGTCACATGCAAGAGATTTGGGTCTGGATGAATTCAAACAAATTAGCCAAGATATGAAGGTAAAATAGCAACATTCTTATTTCTATCATAAAGTTCAACCAATCAGCAACCAGTGTACATGACAAAATTGAAATTTTTGTGCAATATTTTGTAAATTTTTTGTCTGTTTTTCTATAATTTCTTTAATTTTGAGCCAAGGGATAACATTTTTCATTTGTACTTTGTTTAGAGCTATATGTACTAGTAATAATACTAGTATCCTCAATTAAATATTCTTTATTGAGCCCATTTGCTTGTACATGCATTTCACTACTACCGGATTCTGCCATAAATTCGCCCAGGGCCGTTAAACAGCAGTTCGGGTTTAAAAAATAAATAAAATGGGACCAAGAAACCGCCCAGGGCGATTTTTCGGCAGTTTTTTAACGTGTTATTTCAATCTTTTCTGATGCCATAGTCATTGACGCCTATTCAAAAGTATTGATGTTTATTGCGACTAGCGTGAATGGGTTAGCTTTGTTTTGACAATGAGCTGTTATCGCTGTAAATAATGTTAAATTATTCTTCAAATGCTCAGTTTATCTTTTGAAAACAACTAATTTTTTTATTTAAAAACAATGCATGCCGCTTTCCCATCAAAATCCAAGCCAAAAGATCGTACAACAACATTGGCAAATCTCTTCCGTGCTGAGTTCAATAACATTAACATATTTAAATGTTCTATGGTAATTTGAACACGTTGACATCATCGATCGATTTCATTGGTTAATTATCAATTTGACCTGTCAGGTCAAAAAACACCATCTCAGGTCAAACATGGCGGATATTCATTTCTACAGCATCGAGTGTTGAAAATGCTATCGGAATCATTTGCTTACGATGAAATAAGTTGAAATTTATTGGCATTTTTTAACAATTCAACGAATTTATTTTTTGCACGTTATTATAATCATTACTAGGTAATAATCAATAATTTTAAAATGCAGCATGACCGGATTGTGCTACCACGATCATTTGCTACTAAACAATGCAGTTGTTTTGTTGTTATTTAAAACTTCTTTTAGAATATACTTTCGTTACTAATAAAATGAAACAAAATAATTGTATTTGGTGCACAAGGTTCGTTAATGTGATTTTTTTTGAAGAAAGATGCACGGTCTACTTTTTAATCCATCTAGAAAAACATGTATACAATTTTAGATTAGCTTCTGCAATAGTTTTTTTTGCTTTGGGTGGTCCAACTGTCAGTGTTGAAAATTGGTGTATGGGATTTTTCAATGAAAATATAAGCCCCCTAAAAATATCTGATGATAATTTTTTGGAAATTTTAACCCCAAATAAGAGCCCACCAGCCGTGAAACCGCCCAGGGCGATTTTTCGAATGGGCGAATTTACGGCAGAATCCGATACATGTACTATCAAAACTGGTGACAGATACGGTAATGGTAACTACAATGACCCAGATATTTGAGCAGAATTTGTGACTTCCTACAATTCCACTGCTTCATAATACCGATAGTCACATATTACTTTGTATGATGTTTTAGTATTCCTCTTGAAAACTGAATCACTCCAATGTGCCTTGATATGAACTCAATTTTGACATGATCTGTATACATGTATTGTATGGTATTAAATTTAGACATACCAATCTGTATGCATTATCTCAAAGGTATTCATTTCATATGACAGGGTAGGTGAGACATAATTTACTATTATAACAATGAATGTGGTTATTATATTCTTATGCAGATAAGTTACTTTTCTGTGATAAAACATTGTTTCTTTTGGATAAATAGGTAATTCATCGATACCAATTTAACCTAAGAGTCTGGCCATCACAATTGACTCTGGAACTATATTAATTAAGGGTTTTTAATTTTCTTTTCAAGCTTGCACAAATCTTTGCTGTATGCTGTTAAAAAAGTTTGGTGTTAAATCATTTTGTTTGCAGAGCTGGAAAACAGATATTGAATCCAAAGATTCTTATTTGAAGACAAATCAGTCTGCTTTTGAGGATGGTTTACCACCAGTTAGATCAGGAGCTACTATAAACACAGATACTGGACAGGTAGGTATATCAATATTTAAACAGGTTTAGACGTTGGGCCAGTGAAAAAATTTGAAAGCCACTGCTGTGTTTTAATACATGTATATACAAGAAAACAAGTCAAGAACATTTATTTTTTGACCACAAATGGATACAAGATTGTCTTTGATATCTGCTACGTGTGTAAGAGCAAAAATGTCTTCCAGTGAAAAATAAACATAAAAACAAACGAAAAACCACTATTGTGGTAATATGCAAGAAAACAACTTGACCAAAAATGGATACAAAATAGTCTTTGACATCTGCTACTTGTGTAAGAGCAAACATTTTCTTAGAATTATCTACAACTTTAACTTCCTCTTTCCCATATTCACAATAGGTTACTAAAGCTGAAAAAACGCCGTTCTACAAACCATCTCCCGACCGCATCAAATCATCTGATTACAAAGCATGGGATAAGTTTGATGCAGAGAAAGAGGCCGAGAAGGTAGATGAAGAAACCTCAGCAACCCCAAAGAAAAAAGGGACATCAGTGAACAGGGAGATTAATATTAGTAGTAAAGTTGATACTACAGGTAACATGATGTTTTGTGGCACTCTCTTAGATATTAGCCCCCATCATCATGGGTAGAGTGTATTATTGAATCTCCAAACACCTTCTGATGGTAAAATTGCACAATGTTTTCCTATGTAAAATTGTTATACTGGTAAGCCTAAAATGACAGAAATTTTACATTCAACCTTCAACCAACTTCTAGTTTTAGGAAGTAGTGGTCATTTCTTCGGCTGATCTGCACTGGCTCGGAAGATGAATTCTGATTGGCTAAAAAAACAAAAAAACTTGTGGCGTTGAATGCACGTTCATTGTCAGTATTGTTATGCAAATTCAAACTAGCTAATCATTTACAACCTTCCGAGCCAGTGCAGATTAGCCCCATTTATTTTCCTGTTTCAGTGATGAAGATTCATTTATTTATCCTAATATGGGGTGTACAAATTTTGAATTTTTAAAATGCCTCTGAAATGAAAATATATATTTTTTTTAATTCCAGGCATGACTGATCAAGAAAAAGAATTAAAAGCAAATCGAGAAAAAGATAAAGGAAATGAGGTGAGACTCAGCTTGTGGTGTCATGAAACAAGCTGATCAAAAAACAAGTTGAATGTTTCATTTTGGTTGATTCTTCCAATGAAGCGTTGTTTCTATATCACTTGTTCATTGCTTGGGCCATCCATGTAATATTTTCATATCCATTTTATATATATAAGAGGATTAGTAACTATGTTTGTTACTAATTGGGGTCAGGTATCCATGCTTGCCCACATAAAAATTAAGTTGTCCAATAAGTTGTATTTATTTTTAATCTGAACAAATATTACTGGTCTACTAAAAATCTACATGTATCTAGGGGTAATCAACAATGATAATACTGCATTGGACTACAGATATTGCAAATAAATATTGTGATTTCTAAAAAGAAAAAAAATGTTTAAAAAAACAATATTTTCCCAATGGGCAAGTAGAGAAGGGTTGCCCAGGGCAACCAGAAACTGTACTATATGATGTTATAATTTAGTGCTCAATATTAGTAGGAGTATGAATATTAATGATTATATTGTTATATTTCATTCATACAGGCATTCCGTTCTGGTGATTATGCCGAGGCCGAGCTCTACTACTCAAGAAGTGTTTCCTTGATTCCAACTGTTCATGGCTACAACAACAGAGCCCTAGCAAGTAAGTAGAGAGTGATATACTGTAAAGGGATTAATTATTCACTGGGTTTTAATTTTGCTTATTTTGCTAAATTAAAACCCAGTGAATATGTAAAATTTAGCATAGAACACATTATCTAAATGATAAAACCAGGAATTAAAAGCCACTGAATATGCTTGAAATGGTAAATCAGTGAAATTTAAACCCAGTGAAAATTAGTCATTTTACAGTACACAGATTTTCACTCTATAAATCCTTCTCCATTACCACATACTTGTATCATATCAGTGCGGTCAATTATAAAATGGTCAAATGAAAATGATATTGACCTAAGCATTGTCAATTAACTGGTGGTTGAGAGATTATGAGAAAATCCTGCAACAGCGTTTGAACTACCCAGGGAGCGTAGAATATTTCATTTTATAAGACATCCCATTGAGAATAGAATAGAATAATGCTTTATTAATACCATATTAAAAGAAAGAGTTAACATTTCTTTTTAGTCCCCGTTCGGACGTAGTCCGAAAACAGGGACTTATGTTTTGCCCTGTGTGCGTGCGTCCGTGCGTGCGTCCGTGATCAAACTTCACTCATACATCACACACATGGGACATATGCTCATGCATTTTTTTCATGATCCGATTAACGATAGCCGAATAGCGGCCATTTTAAGGCCGAAAATGCATCAAAATCACACATTTTCACCATTCCGGACCCGGATCTCAGTTATGCATGGACGGATTTTGTTCAAATTTGGTACATACATTAAACATAATAGGACCTTGATGCACGTCATTTTTTTTTTTGGGATTGGGTTTGAAATGGCCGACTGGCGGCCATTTTGTTTTAAAGAATTCAGTTCTGGATCCGTATCTGAAAGACATGCTTGGATTGATCGAGTTCAAACTT